TGTTTAAAGCTGGATTTTGAGTTCCTTAAAGATTTTTGTTTATCAAAAAATCCAGCATCCATACCTTAATTGGCTAGAGTAAAATGCTATTTCACTTAGTGCAGCTTCTGAGGTATTCTCTGCTTCTAGAGTTTGTACTTTGCACACACAGGCGTAGATGGGATGATCTAATCCCTTCTGTTACCTCTGATTTCTATTATCTAAATAATTTTTAATGCAGACATCAGCAACAGCATTTTTCAAGATGTTGTAAGTGATCCCCAGTTAAACATTCAGACCCTGAGGAAGGTTATTTTAATATTCTAATAGAGCATGCTAATCTGCTATACTAATCTGTTTAAGTCAGCTAATGAATGATGCCTGCTAGACAGGTTAGTATGTGGATAGTATTTGATGTGTTGAGCGTTAGAAAATACAGGAAAAATGTGTTACCTTTCAAAAATGTGGAACAGTCACAATTTTATTGGAAAAGTGACATCATTCCAGAAAGTTTAGCTCTAGCAAGTGTTTGTAACTAGAATCCTTATTCAAGTCTGTCAATCATTGGGGTTTTTTTCCACTTTTCCTATTATTTAAAACTGCATCAGCATTCAGGCTTAAAAAATCAGTTGCAAAATACATTTCATAGTGTTAAAATACAGTGTCAGAGCAAGTGCTGAAATGAGACTTCCCAGCATGATGTTCTTATACCGATTGATTTTTACCATGTTCCATTACAAAATCTTGTATAGATGTTATGATTGCAAAGTCAAATAATAAATAGCTGAAAGAGGACAGGCAGAGAGTGACTTTCCTTTGCTTTACTCTTGCCTTCTTCATCAATTTACAATATGACATTATCCCTTATCTTTCTGAAGCAGAAACGCAGGGGGGGTGCTTTTTAACCACTTCATAGCTTTTCACTGCGAGCCACATTCAGTAGTATGGTTCAAATGATTTATATCACTTAATTTAAATAGGTTTATACTTCCATGAAGTCGTGAAGTATTTTAAAGCTGCTGGAATGTGTGTGTAAATACCACCCTTAAAGTTTAGATCTATTCTGATAGCAGAGCAGGTAGGAACATCACTTCTTCACTCCGGCAGAACATGTTTTCATAATCCAGGTGACATTTCCAATTATACTAATTTCAGTGTAAAATCAGCAGCTTATCTCTTAGCTCAGCTTTCTTTATACAGTTCCATTACTTGTGTGCTAAACAGTGCAAAGCAGTCAGTACTAGATCTAGAAGCAAATGATGGCTTCATGTTTAAGGACAAACTGCTAGTAAAATTACCATTGTGGTGAACTTTATTTTTCAGAAAAAAAAATGAGTGTATGGTTGCAGTTGGTATCTTCTGGGTATTCCTAATTCAGCCAAAGATGCTTTAATCATTTGAATCAAAAATCTGAAAAGCTTTAACAAAGATACAAACATTGTGATTTGATTATTTTTCTCACACTGATGGCCGCCTTTGAAATGTATTAACTCTAACTGTGTCATTCCTAAAAACATATACTTAAGGTTAAAAAAACTGGCCAGCCTTAGGCCAATTGCATATTTAAGTTGTATTTTCCTTAGAATCATGTCACTGTGAAGGGCTCCCCAGTCTGTGCTACCACTGTCAAACTTCTTTGTAAATGGAGCAAATAGTCTGTGTTTTCAGACCTCCAGCTCCAACCTCACAACTGAATTGGCGTATAAAAAAACCCATTGTCTTGAGAACGCGATGACTGACAAAACTGCCAAAAATGAGCTGGCTGGTTTTTTTTTCTTAAGAAACTTCTGGAACTTTAGGATGATTTGAACCAACAGTTTTCAGAGATCTTCTGTTTGAGACTATTTCAATCAATCAGACACAGCAAAAGGCAGGAGGGAGGGAGCAGAATAAGCTCTGTGTTTTCACTGAAGAAGTAAGTGAAAATTTTTCCCCACTTGGGGAAAATTGTCACTCTCATCTTCAGTGAAAACACAATCTCAAGGGACTTAAAGCTGCCAGGAATCTATGCTTGCTCTTTTTGGGAGGCTACATTTATTTCAGTACAAACTGAATGTCACCTGGAATTTAAGCCCTTGTTAAATCCTCTTCCATATGCTTGATGCAAATACAGCTGAAGTGAAATTTAATGATTTGCAGATAGGTCCCATGTGAAACAGTGATATGTATATGATGCTTTCCTTTCTTTCTGGACAGAAGCAGGTGTTACATGCTTTCTCTGTTATGCAAAAGAGCAGAAAGAGAACTTGGAACTGTACTCATGGTAGAGACTTTAGCTAAAGAAGTACCATAACTTGTTCAGCCCATTTGCCATCTGTCTCAGAGAATGGAAAAATTATGATTCAAATTGTACCTTTTTTCACTGTATGTGGGGATGAGTTAAAAGCTCTTGTGATTTTATGTTGTAAGTGACTATTCTAGTCCTGGCCACACATTTTGCTATTGCAGTGGTGATTTGGCTTTACATATTTACTTAGCCAGGGAATTTTGGTCACAATTTAGGGGGTCACAGAATGTGAGGGGGTCAGAATTTACTGACCAGTGGGTGAATAAATTGTCTCTGCTCATCAGAAACTTTTAGGCAAGAAAAACTATATCCATAGAGTAGCAATCAATGAACCAATGTCCAAATGAATGGGTGTACTGAATAAAGTTCTGCAGAGGTCTGTCTTGCTTCTGGTATAATCCAGTAATATTGATAATGATGTGGATTACACAATGGAGAATATCCTTATTAAATTTGATCATGCCATAAAGGTAGGACAGACTGCAGATATGCTGAAGAACAGGACTAGAAGTCAAAATCCCCTTAACAAACAGGTAAAATGGGCCAAAGAATGTAAGGTGCTATTAAATATGGACAATAGCAGGCAGGATTAATCAACTGTAAAAATACAGTTTGGAAAGCAACTGGCTCTGTAGCAAACTGCTTGCAAAAAGTGAGTGCCTTTGGTGGATTACAAACTGAATGTGAATCAACGGAGTGATACTTCTGTTAAAAAACCAAATGTCATACTGGGTTTCATAAACAGGAATATGATCCATGAAACGTGAAATAATCCTTCTCCTTTGCTCAGTGTTTGTAAGACTGGTGCTGCGGTGCTGTAGTGCTATTATGCACTCATCACTTCAAGAAAGATGTGCTAGAATCCAGAGGAGACCAGTGGAAATTATCAGAGGTTTAGGAAGTACACCCTACCAAAGAAAATTGAATGGGTTGCTTTCTTCATCTGAAGAGGGAGACTTTCTAGTATTATTCAAATAAATACAGCCTACTTACAAAGTGGAAAGGAATGTTATGTTCCAGATCCTTGGTGGATTGCACTAGAACTAGGGGTTTAAATTATGACAGGTAAGATTCAGATTAGACATTAGGAAAAAAAAATATTTTAGCAATAAGGATAGCAAAGCACTAATTGCCTGGGGAGTTCTTTAGGCATCTTTGATAAGCATCAGTTAAAATGAAAGAAGAAAAACTGAACTTTACCTTGCTTAGAATTAATCAGGAGACTGGTCCTTCCAGCCTGATTTACTGATGATTCAGTGATGTGCCAAGAGATATACACATAAAATTCAGGAAAAGAGGATAAAAAGAGAGAAAGGTTTGGTTGGGAGTCAGCAGCTCTTGAAGGCCAGTTTGGAGGGAAAAGTGACAAAAATGAAAGACTGGGACTTTATGGGAAGTGAAATCATTAAAAGTGACACACACATCATGAACCACTGGACTAGCACCTATTATGCTGCTCCATTTCAATCTAGGAATGGGTGTATTTCCTTCATGCTCTGGTAATTTCAGAGCCAAGCTTCTTCTCAGCCCCTCCCACTGGTACGGAACTGCCCACCTGTAGCTAATCACACAGCTGTTGCCAGTATGAAGGATTTGGGTAGTTTTAATACCATTAGGAGAAAAGAAGTGGTTCCTTTAGAGGGCTAAATAGGTAAAGACTCAGCTGGCTTGGAAGTTAGGTGGTGTAACACAAATAATCTGTGGAAATGCATCTTTTACGCAGAAGACTTCTTGTGTTATTTGGGTAAAATTGTTAAAGCTTTGATACCTGAATGTGTTGTAATATGCTTAAAATGAGAGGTTGTGAGAGGTTTATACAGAAGTATAAACATACAAACGTTGATGCTTAATGACTGGAATAAGGTATTGTAACTACACTTTGGGATACGTTACATTAAACAAAGGTGTGGATGAGATGACTTTGGTTATGAAAGGGCATGTTTTGGGAAGGGTTTCTGCAGTACTTTTCTCCAGGTGCCATCTTGGGTGCCAGGCCTACCTGGCCAAAACTAGCACTACCTGCATATTTTGCTTTAACAAAAACGTGTTAACTTTGTCTCCTTATTTCTTCTCACGTACAACATCTGTTTGGCATGCCAATGTGACTAGTTAGGAATAAACCTGTTCAGAGGAGCAAGTCTGCTGGTTAACTCATCCCAGCCAGGAGCTGTGGGTGTGCAGCTGGCGGTGGTGATGCCGCAGATGTTGGTGTGGCCCTGGGGTCCCCCGCCACCCCGACTGTTCCCCTGTCATGGTCCTGCTGGCTGCTGCCAGCTGGGACGGGACAAGGCAGAGGCAGGTCTCCTCCTTATAACTGAGGCAGGATCTGTCATATTAATATCTCAGCCTATAACCTACGGATGTCACCTGCACAAAAGCAGTAGTTTATTTTAATAGAGCCATTAACGGGGACAGGGCTGTCTGCGGTGGGCTGCAAAGCCCTGCAGAGCGGCCCTCACTCGAGGCAGGAGGCATTAAAGCCTTGCACTTAGGGGTGAGTTGGGCATGCTTCTCTGAGGTGGTTTTCTGCTCTGTAGTTTCACTGTGTCTGGGACATCCATTCTGTTATAACTTGTGCTGTAATCAGTGGCATTGCCCTGGGATAATGAGGGCAAAACTGAGGTAAGCAGGAGTCTAACGTAATACTGTTGTATGTTTACAGACAAACATATGCTGATGCTCTTTCCTGCCCCCCCCATCTCTTCAGGACTTCTGATTTAAGTAACTAACCATCATGTCTGACCCTGTTGTTCTGCGTAGCATCAAGAGATTGGGAGAGGATAACTCTGCTTTTGACTTGGATGGCAAATGTAAGAAGTTTATTCATCAGTCACCTCCTTATTTTATAAAGCACATAAAATAGGTGGTGGGTGGTCTAAATGGAGCAAATAGTCTACAGAATACAAAGCAAATAGTCTGTGGAATAAATATAGAGTTTTATGGTACATGCTGTTATGGGTATGCTGCCTGCAAAACAACTTTTCTGTAAAAACTACTAACAATCCCTACTCATGGACAATCTTTACTTACCAGCCTACAAGTTCACGGTATCTACCTAGGTTTTTATACTCAGCATTTTGGTGTACAAGTAAAAGGCCTTTCCTGGGGGGGTGGGGTGGTGGTGGTGGTGGTGGTGGGTGGTGGTGGTGGTGGTGGGTGGTGGGAAAAGTTCTGTCTTCCACAGTTTCTAGAGCTGCTTTCAAGAAACACATATATCTGTAGTCATACTTATATTAGGCAGAATTCTTATGATCTATTGCTATGTGAAGCTCTGCATTCCTTCTCATCAGAGCTTTTCCTCTTTTCTTCCATTTTTCCTTTGCAATGTGCCCTGTTCCATTTTGCCAATTGAAACACAGCAAGAGTCAAGGAGAAACATGATGAGAAACTGCTGAATATTTTGAATTCTGTTTATAAGACTTGAGAAAAGCCAACAAAGAGAGGGGCATTTAATATTTATACTGAATGTAAGGTACAAAGGAAAGCAAAACAGTTGCACATAATGGAAGATAAATTGCAATATCTTGCAATGTACGTGCTCCTCGCATAGAGCAAAAAGGGTTCACAAAAGGATTCCAGCACTCGGATATCACCAGATACCCTAAGCATATGTACATTTTGTATTTGCAAATTACTTGACAGCTGTGGCCTAATCCTGGAAGTGTTTAAGCTTTCATTAAAAACAGTCTCCTAGGACCCAATGAAATGCTTCAGACCATGCATGAAATAGCCTGTGTTTTGAACATGGACCTTACTGGGATTTACAAATGTGGCATTCACTCCCAGTTTTACCTGCATCATCACAAAAATAGGTGTGCTCTGGTCAGCTCTGAACAAAATACAGCTTGAGGAGGAGGGATGCTTTTTTTTACCTTGGGATCTCTCTCTCTTTTTTCTTTTTTTTCTTTTAATTCATCATATGTATTGTTAGAACAATCAAGCTGGATAAAAACTACACAGTTTTACTTCGCTTGAAATACTTTATGACAGAGTACCTCCAGAAAACTGGAGACTTATATTGAAAGACAGTCACTCTCTCTTGGAACTATTCTTCACCAACAAAAAGAAATCAAAGCAAACCGTACTAGACTGAGTTACAGTGATTTCCCCCCCAGCCTAGACAACAGCTCAGGTTTAAGGCAGCCCAGCCTCAGTCTCTTTCATTCCATGGGAATGATTCCTCTACCTTTTGTTAAAACTTGTGGCATGCAGCAAAATTCTTCACATAACCACATATATAATGAAATTTCAGACAATAAACAAACTTTTTTCAAGACCTTATAACTGATTTTTAACGACAGCCCTCTTCAAGCCTCTCTCCCTGCTACATAGCAGCACAGCGTTTCAGCTATAACTTGATCTGTGGTGTCTGTTGTTATTTTTAAAATTTAGTAGTTACTGATTGATGCTAAGTCTGTATTTCAAATCTAGTATCATTTACTGTTTGGGTTTGGAATTTCCTTCCAATCTTTATCTGTCTTTATACATCTTTATAGGATATCTCATAAGACTGTGTCCATAACAGTAGAGTCTGAACACATGTGGAGTATTCAGTCTGAGCTTGAACTAAGCCTTGATTGTGGTTATCTTTGTAGAGATTGACTGATATCTGTAAACATAAAAGCAGCTGTTGCATTAGAAGACAATACATGTGCTTTTTTTGCTCTGACATTAGAAACTGAATAAGAGCTTCATGTGCAGAAGATGTTATGTTGCCACTTCCTGTCTCTCTGTGTTAGCTAGATAATTCCTTTGGTTTTAACCATCCTCATCAAATCTCTTTCATTTTGCTGGGATTATTCTAGATTAGATAATCTATTCAACAGATTCAAAGGTCTGTTTTTGTTAGGAACTTCAAATCTATTGTTATAGCTGGTAAGAAGATAGTGTAGGAAGTTATTCTTTGAATAGCTTGAATGTATTCTTAAAATCAAAGCTGGTATGCTAGATTCTGCAGATGATTTTAAAGTCTGCAGTGCAGCAGCAGCAACCTCAGCTCCGTGACTATGAAAGAAATCAATATGAATGTTTTCTGAAACTCTGCTCTCTCCCCAGTATATTGCTACCCCAGCACACTGCTCTGCATCCTGCTGGGATGAGCAGCCATCTACATGCTGAAGCAGTACAGATCTCCCCGCTCCCCTCCCCTGCTGTGTTTTGTTATAAAACTTCTCACTTGGGCTGCTAACTAAAGGCAGTTTCAATGCATGGGGCATTGTGGGCATATGTGGGGCATATTGGTGAAGAGCGGGGAGGAATGACAAGAAAAGGGAGTGAATAGGTTAAGAGGGTATGTCCTTCTACTTCAGGGACAGAAAACTATTCTTCTCTTCCAGCCACTTACTTAGAACTCCCAGATTGCCCAGATTTATCTAGCTGGTCTCAGGGGGTTGTTTTTTGTCTGCTAGTTTGTCTTACGTACTTGTGGCTTTTACTTTTTATGGGATTTTGGCAAAAGACTTTCTATTGGGACCAAAGCTATTCCTCTTTTCACAGTTGGGGTTTTTTTTTGGCCTATCAAATGAGTTTGTCTTTGGTTTCTCAGTTTCCTTGGAAATGCACTATGTTTTCTGCTTAATGTACTGAGCAGTTTGTTGAACTTGCTTTAAAACCTTACTGGCATTCTGCTGATTGATCTAATCTCCAGTGAGGTTTGTTTCAATAAGCATCTTTTGTACTTATTAGTAAGAATTAGCCCTCTCTGGATCAACCCTTAAACACCACATCAGTAGGTGTAGTTAAGAGCCAGCTTTAGTTGGGAGCATTTTGAGTACAATTTTTCATCACTTGAATCAAGTGTCAGACTTCCTCATGCTTAACTTCTACTGTGTTCTCACAATACCAGTAAAAACTTGAATTCTTGACAATGTTCTTCAGCTTTCCCTTGATGCTGTGCTTTTTTCAAATTATAAAATTTCTTTCTTAAATGCCTTAATTCCTCTTCCAAAATTTTTTGAGCATTCAAAGATTACTATAGCTTTTTTCTTTAGGGTTAATAAATTCTTTCATCTTCCCTACATTCTTTTCTTTTCTATAAAAATCATATTCTGTCCTCTTTTTCTACTTTTTCCTCTACTTGAGCAGTAGTGTGAACTGTTACTCATCTGTTTCTTTTTTTTTCAAATTAAGCATAGGTAACATAATTCCAAATTCTCCTCCTGCTTAAAAACTTCTGTCCTGCAAGAGCTGGCCCACAGCTCCTTGCATTCTTGAATAGCATTCATATACTCATTTCCCTCTTCAAGTTCATAGATTAGGGTTTCTTCACTTTTGAAGAATATTTATTTTGCTCTCTAAATTGATAAGACTCAGAAAGCTATTCCACCAGACTCTTTTGTTCCTCCCAGTAGCCAATTCCTTCATTCTTTTGCAAAACCCTTTGTGTTACCAGCCTGCAGAGGAAGCTTTCTCTAAACCTTAACTTTTCTGATAAACCCTGGAGAATCTTCTAGGACTGGTTTCAAACCACTACAGCTGTTACCAGCCACCAAACAGATGTTTCTTTTTCCTTTGCCACTGGCGATTCTTTGTAATAATAATTTTACAAATTAGAACCTTCCTGGAAAATGTCTGGATTCTTGGGACACACATATGTCCTTATCAAAAGAATCTTTTCTTTTTACCATCCCCAATTAACAAACAGAGCAGAATAAAACCAATAGAATCATTGTTAGCTAAAGCCAAATAAAGTTATCTTACTAACCCCCAAAAGGATATGTAATCAGCTGTTCCCTCAGTCCCAAACTCAGACTGCTTCCATCTAACATTGTTGCCTTGGGAAATGCAAAACCCTCAATATAATGGAAAAGCCTTCTTCCCTTGGGTAAGATGGAGGCAAAATTGTGGTTGCAGTGACTTCTTTGCACCTTCTATGAATTGTGATGCAAAGTTCCTCCTCTGTGCATGCTCAGTGTTGTGTCACTAGATGTGAAGAAAGGAAGGCACTGTTTGAAAAGCATACCATGGTTCTGAACCTGATGCTGAGCGGCCAAGTGCATCGTAAACGAGCAAGGTGCACACACCCAGTGCCTTAGATTACCCAATCTGTGCTGTATATATAGAACTAGCTCTTTATTCATTGTCATCTCAAGTGATGTACAGCAAATATTTTTACTTCAGCCCTTGTGATGACACTTCTTTTGGGGCCCCTGCCAACACAAGCTGTGCTTTACGTATGATGCGTTTAACAACATCTCTTGAAAGGGAGCTAAATCCAGACCTGTTCTGGTGACTAAGGAGTTGCCCTACAGCATAATTATATCTTGTAGTATAATTCCATTTTTCTAAGCTATGGTTCCTTAGAGGGTATCCCAAGAATAGACATCAGTGAGAAGTTCATCTTACCCTCCAGGGGCATAGCTGCCCCTCTACCACAGGATTTGCAGTCTCTTAAGTTGTTGGAAGACACGAGTGAAGAGCTACTGCTGCTCCTTTCAGGGAGCATGCATGGACTGCCAGTAGAATAGTATTCCTCAATGAGACAGCGTCCAAGAGAACTAGTTGAATACTAGCAAACAGTTTGCAATGAAAATGAGATGACTTTTGGCAAATGTCCTGAAAAACGTATTTAGTTAAAACCATTTTGTTATCTGGGGGATTGAAAATTTGAGACTACCTCTTCAATAGAGAGCAGGCATTAATTGATAGGAACTCACTAAGGCATTTTTGAACCCATGTCAGTTCATGTCCCTGGCTAGATATATCAGTGGGAATAAGATGCTTATAACTCAGGAATGATCAAGTTCCATGGGGTTCTAGGGTTTATGTTTCTCATGTCTACAGAAGATTATGTACTTTAACAATAATTATTAACTAGACTGTGCATTTATTTTCCCTAACAGGTAACAACTTCAAGAAATCAGAGTAAGTTGTGTACACAAATGGAACAATCAATATTTCTAGGAATATTTGAAGAAGTTAATGTCATCGGATCAAATTGACGCATTTATAGAATATATGGTATTTAATGAGAAGCTGTTCTCTAGGAGTTGAACTGCCTTATTTGATACAACTGACACAGGTAGACCAAAACAGTCCTAGCAACCTTTAAAAACATGGAGTAATGGCAACAAAATATGGTCTGTCTTCTGAAAATGTTTTTGATACTCGAATTTATCTTCAGTGCTTTTAGTTTGAAAAATGAGTTTTTCAGGAATTTTAATAAATCTTGATTGATTTCTCTTAAAGCTTAACTGTGAGACTTTAAAATAAAAGGAATTAGCTCACTTCATTTGAGCTCAGATATTAACATTTAAACATAAAATTCTAGATAGTTAAAAGCTGAAATTATTTAAGGACCTTGACCTTCAGCTATAATCTGAGATTTGAATGGGGTTAAGAGCCTCCCTCTTTCTAGGTCTTGGGACAACTCTATAGCAGACTGGACATCCTAATGGGTGCTGTAATTTGTGCCAGCTCTTTCTGACACAGTGTACACAGTCTGAGAAGTACTAGAATGAGGAAGCAAGAGCATCTATTAATTTTTGTCTTTGTCAGGTTGCCCACCTTAGAGAGCACCAGCCCAGTATTCAAGGTGTACCATGGTCCTCGCACATGTCTTGAAACCCAGGTTGTCTGACTTTCATACGTAACACACGTATGCTCCTACCTACTACACATACAAAGCATCCTTCAGCTTTCTAGGATCTGGTTTCTGAAAACTGTTCATGACAAATATAGCTTGAATTCATTTGTTTCATTTAAAAAAAAAAAAAATCCAAATTGAAAATCCCTACTCCATCACTGAATGTACACAAATGATGATTACTTGCTATAGTATGGATCTCATCCATAATGGTGCAACTAGTCCTTTAGATTTTAACTGATCATACAGAATAGCAACACATAATGCGAGCACTGAAAAAAACCTGTATGGTAGGGTGAGAGATTCTACTGCCACTATAGACATATGAATATACAGGCAATATAAGAGAGGATGGGAACAGGACCTTTCTCTGTCTTAAAGAAAGGATTAGCCAACAATTTGGACGGTAGGTTTTTCTCTAACTGACCTCAAAGAACGCACAATCCACATTATAGCAACAGTGTATTGAAGAGCTGCTTATGAAACAAAGTGTAAGCCTTCAGATCATTTTAACCTAACATCCATTCTAGTCCCTGTCAAAAATTTAAAAGAACCATCAAATCACTGGTTCCAAAGAGATCTGAAAGAAACAGCTTGTCTCTTAAAATTCTGGGCAAAATGTCTCAAATAAAATGTAATTTCAGAGAAGTAACCAAGAGAATAAAAGAATTAATGTAAAATCTTATCCTTTTTGCTAGGAATTTCTATACATATGAAGAACCTTTTCTAGAGAAGAAAAGTGAAAAGTGAGTTAAGTTCAATTCTGTGTACTATCTTTGCATATAGAACAAAATATGTAGTAAAATACAAATTTATAACTTCATGTTTTCTGTTCTTGAAGGTCATCAGAAAAGAAAGAAAACAGTATTCGTGTTGGCTTCTTTCAGCTGGTAATGAAAGCAATGGCTATAAATATTTTATGTGCATTGTGCTGCAGAATAAGTGATGGTTGTTTTGGGGAATAGCTGTGACTAAGCCAAACTTTTAAGGATTAAACCATTTGGCATGAAATCCTGCCATTAAAGTCAATGGGAATTTAATAGAACCCTTTGTCATTTTGTCAGCTTGGTATCGATTATCGTATTTTTGTCATAATTGACTATTAAACACATTATATTGAACCTACAGGTAGATATGGGGAAAAGAGTTAAGATGCACAGCAGGATCTAGGTGACCTTGGTTCATTCTTATTTCTGACAAAAATTTTCTGTGTGATATTTGGCAGATAATTTAGCTCCCTTGTAATTGCTCCATGGGTATTAGAAGATTTGGTAACTATAGAAACTTGGGAATGCACAATACTGTATGGTATGTCTAGCTTTTGATGGGTCTTGGAATCCCATAGAGTGCATCTACATTCTAAAATTAATGTAGTAGAGAGAGCTTCAACCTAGCAGCATGCAGCTAAGAGGTTTCATTACTTCTGTTTTGCATGTAGTCTAGGCAATTATCCTGTAATGTGTCCAAACTAATATGGTTCTGACTGTAGTACTGGGCTACTGCAGTTACATCCATGTGGCTTGTACTCTACCTGGCTAAGTATCTCAACTCTTGGGTGGAGAGAACAGTCTGTCCACACAGAGGGCTATATCTGTCAAGCAGAGGGGTTTGCATTCTGTACTCTATTTTGCACAGATGTTTAACTCCTGAAGTGCAGTTGGTAAACACAGTATGTTTGCATCAGATGTGCTGAGAGATTAGGTATCACATATCTGTGCATTTTCTGTCGGGTTCTTTTGTTTGTTTGTTTGTTTTAATCAAGGGAATTCCTAGACTTCTTAGGAGCAAGGTTTGCAAAACAGTGGTAGGGCTACAGTTTTCTTCTTACTTTTTTTTGTAGAAAGACGTTTTATTTATTTCTTTTATGTTAACCGATTTGTTTTTCCTTTTATCTTGTCTCTGCCTTAATGTCCCTTTTCCATATGTGCTCCAAAATCCCACCCTTTCTTCTCTTAGACACATTATAGCACCTGCAGAACCTGGACAGGTTCTTCAGCAGGCTATGATTCCTCTTCACACTCTATTTCAAAATATATAGCATTTGATACTGATATTCTATATGGACAGTTTGATCTATATATTTACATGACTTCAACCTGAGAATCAGAATTTACACAATCATGACAAAGGTAATTTAAGTCACTGTATCTTAGCTGAGTCACCAGCTGCATGTGCGCATTGTCTTGGTCCATGCAAATGTAAGGTAATAGGACTTAGCTCAATCCTCTATTTACTGCATACTGTCGTATTTCTACACATTTCTCCCAGATTAAGAGCTCAGCCAACATGTTTTAGAGTATTAACTATGAGAACTTGCTCTGAGACCTTTAGTTGGCTTTCTACCACAGCACCCCAGACTTTTGAGAAATTGGCTAACTATTCAGAGGCTCTGCGTAATGCCCTAGGGCTTTTTCCTCCCTTCCCACTCCCTCCATCCCCACAGGAAATCTGCAAAGCAGACTATATATATGAATTATAATTACTATTCTTAATCTTTTAGCTAGTTTCTGGAATGATGATAATGTGGAATGATATCGAGCTATTAATGTTATATGATAATACATTCATTCACATGGTCAGATTCTGCTGTCAACTAAAAGGGAGCTCATAATAATTTATGAAGCTGTAATAATGGGTGCAATTAGATTAGGTTGCAGAGAGAGATTTGTCTTTTTTTCTGTATTGAAGATAACTCTGAAATTTAAAGAGAATGATTTCGTATCTGATCCACCTGATTAATGATTTATCAGTATACAACCAGCATGAAGACTGCCTCTCAGCAGAGACCATATTTTTTTCCTGTCTCTTTAGTTTCGATTTTCTTCACCTATGGAAATTTTAATGATGGCTGCTGGTAGTTTCTGTGCTATTGTTCATGGAGCAGCCCAGCCAGCTGTGTTGCTTGTGTTTGGTGCAATGGCAGACACATTTATTGAATATGACATTGAAATGCAAGAGCTTAAAGACCCAGGCAAGACATGTGTAAATAACACCATAGTGTGGATTAATGGTACTATTCACCAGAATGAAAAGAACGCCACAATAATATGTGGGTAAGTAGTAGATGCATTTGTTTCTTTTCCTTTGTTACTATGGCTTATCAGAGAATGTATTGCTAGTGAAGGTCCAGTTCAGCCTTTAAACTTTACATTTTCTATCCATAAGGTGGAAAAGGGGCATGGTTCTTGTTAGAGAGTCCTGTTTCTGAGCTGGAGATACTACCTGGAGGGAGAGAAGGTCAGCTTGGGTCTTGGTCTTTCAGCTATAGATGTCAGCAAGGATATTCATTGGTGATGATTTTTCTGATAACAGATATATCTGCTACACATCTGAGGTCATTAATCTTTCCTCTGATGACACTGTATGTAATAATGACTTCTGGTCATTCTGGTTAGGACTTGGGTACCTACAGGTGCCTGCTGACTTCTGAGCAAGTTCGCTAAACTTTAGTCATTGAAGAGAAATGAGCGCTTCTAGGATGCAATACATCTTAGCTTATGGGAGATGTCTAATGCAGGTCAGATGACCTGCCCTATAAGAGTGCCTGTTGCTTTCTGTTAATAAATGGAGTCTAGATGATTCATTCAGATACAGATATGTCAAAGCCAAATTTGAACCTGTAATCTTTCCTAAGGCTCGTTTTTCAGTGCATCATTCCAAGAGTTTTCTAATCTCTGAGTGACATTTAATTAGATATTTAATTAGAATTAAAAGTTACTTGTCTAAAGGTCTCAGAAATTCAAAGCACATGGGAAGTGATTCACATTCCCACATGCAGGTGACTGGGGCCAAATTATTTGCTCCAGGCTGTCCAAGCCAGCCCTCCGAGATGGGGCTGGCAGATAGAATACAGGATTTGCTACAGGCCTCTTTTATGGTGAAGGAGCAACTATGCACCAGGCAGGATACATTCATAGAATCACAGAATGGTTTGGCTTGGAAGGGATCTTAAAGATCATCTAGTTCCAACCCCCCTGCCATGGGCAGGGACACCTTCCACTAGACCAGGCTGCTCAAAGCCCCATCCAACCTGGCCTTGAACACTTCCAGGGATGGGGCATCCACAGCTTCTCTGGGCAACCTGTTCCAGTGCCTCACCACCCTCACAGTGAAGAACTTCCTTACATCTGATCTAAATCTACCCTCTTTCAGTTTAAAGCCACTACCCCTTGTCCTATCACTTCATGCCCTTGTAAAAAGTCCCTCTCCAGCTTTCCTGTAGGCCCCTTTTAGGTACTGGAAGGCTGCTACAGGGTGTCCCCGGAGCCTTCCCTTCTCCAGGCTGAACAACCCCAATTCTCTCAGCCTGTCTTCATAGCTCCAGCCCTCTGATCATCTTCGTGGCCCTCCTCTGGACTCGCTCCAACAGGTCCATGTCCTTCTTATGTTGGGGCCCCCAGAGGTGAATGCAGTACTCCAGGGGGGGTCTCACGAGAGTGGAGTAGAGGGGGAGAATCACCTTCCTCTACCTGCTGGTCACGCTTCTTTTGAGGCAGCCCAGGATGCAAGTGGCTTTCTGGGCTGCAAGTGCACGTTGCTGGGTCATGTTGAGCTGTCAATCCACTCATCGCCCAGCCTGTATTTGTGCTCGGGATTTCCCCAACCCATGTGCAGGACCTTGCACTTGGCCTTGTTGAATTTAATGAGGTTTGCACAGGTCCACCTCTCAAGACTGTCAAGGTCCCTCTGGATGGCATCCCTTCCCTCCAGTGTGTCAACCGCACCACAGAGCTTGGTGTCATTGGCAAACTTGCTGAGGGTGCACTCGATTCCACTGTCCATGTCACCAAAAAAGATGTTAAACAGCACCGGTCCCAATAACAAGCCCTGAGGAATGCCACTCATTGCTGGTCTCCACTTGAACATCAAGCCATTGACCGCAACTATTTGAGTGCAACCATCCAGCCAACTCCTTTATCCACTGAGTGGTCCATCTGTCAAATCCATGTCTCGCCAATTTAGAGACAAGGATGTTGGGCGGGACAGTGTCAAATGCTTTGCACAAGTCCACGTACATGACGTCCATTACTCTTCCCTTATCCACCAATGCTGTAACCCCGTTGTAGAAGGCCACCAAATTTGTCAAGCCCTTAGTAAGCCATGTTGTCTGTCACCAATCACCTCCTTATTTTCCACGTGCCCTAGCATAGTTTCCAGGAGGATCTGCTCCATGATCTTAATTAAAGCATAAAAAATGGTACTGGATATCTGTGTCAGGCACCTGAGTTGCTTGCACGATTGTTTTTTGCAAGAGATCAGGTCAGGTACATAGTGTTCTGTTTTGGCTCAAAATTTCAATGTACCAAATTCTGGGTAAATGGAATAAAATTTGTTGTCTGCAGGACGTTTTAAAAAAAAGTTGTCTAAAAGCATAACCAATAATGACCTGAAATACCTATTTCAAAGTAATCTAAATGCAATAGCAGCAACTCAATGCCCTTCACTGATATTAAGAGTAATTTAATACTCGTACTTGAGCTAAAAGAAATGATTGTTTCAGATTAGCAAGCTTATGGTACAAAGTAATACTTGAATTGACTTTAGCAGCCCTCATTTCTCCCTGTAAAACAGTTTAAATCTGAGTGTTATTAGTTGGTCTAATGGCACAAAGCACGCTTGTTCAACATCCAGTGAAAACTTGCTGGGCAGCTCTTCCCTGAAACACCCTCTCACCTGTGCTGTTTCGGAGCTGCAGTCTGGCGGGATTTCTCAGAGGCTGCAGGGCTGCTCCAGGGCGGCAGAGCATTTGCTGGTACCTGCCAGCACCCTACCCCTGTACAACAGGCAGAGCAAGCAAAACAGCCACTGCTAGTGAGAGTCTCGGTATTGGGAAACAATGCCTGTGTTAGCAAAACAAGCTGACTTGCCAGATGACATGACTCTAACTTGAAGAAACACCAGATTAGAAATCTGTGAGAAACTTAAAACAGCATTGCTTTTTTTTTTTTTTTTCCTTCTTTTTTCTTTTTTTCAGGCTGCTGGACATTGAACAAGAAATGACCAAGTTTGCAGGTTACTATGCAGGAATTGGTTGTGCCATACTTGTGTTAGGATACCTCCAAGTCAGTATTTTGTTTCCTATTTTGATTTTAAAGTTTAAATCACTAAATAATTAAGTTTATAATAATTATGTTCCTTTTAACTGCTTACTTAGCTGCCCATTTGAGCAGAGCAGACGCTTTCAGTTCTCGTTGTATTGGCTGAAACAGGTTAACTCTGGCAATCTGAGACCTCCTTGGATTTGTGCATGTATACCTTTGCACAAGGATACCTTTTACCCAGTGAGATGAATGCATGCTGCTCCTTTCACACCACAAGGAATACTTGCTCAAGTGTGGTTACTATGGAATCCACATGCCCTCCGAAAACAACAGCTGAAGGGCATACAGATTCCCAGTAGGCATCTCAACTGCGTTGAGCCCTGTGTTTCTATTATAGAGATATTACAGAGTAGTACTAGTGTAAAACTAGTATTGGAGAAGAATCACACCCTACATACTCTGTAGTAATGGCTCAATCCTTATGACTGAGATGAGCCACAAGCTTGGACAATTCCCTCATAATCTGCTAAAGGGTCATGAGGTAGGATGGCTGCCATCCCTGTATTATTTACAGCTGTAGATGGAAAATTTTTTGTCCATATAACATTCATGTAACAGTACAAGTAATTTAACTTGCATCTCCTCTCAGCCTATCAGAACTGAGACAAATGCTTGATCCAGAGGCTTTATAAAATTGTTGGATTATTTAAAGATCAAAGGCATAAAACAACTATCATGTCTGTGTAGCTAGAATGTATTTTACCTGAATAGTAATTTTATCAATAGCTAAATTGCTCTTTCGTATTTTGGCCAAATTGCTTTTTCCCATTTGTTGGGAGTAGAAAGACTTTTTACTGCAATTTATCAGCCACATTATGCTCTCCCCAGATCTGCTTTTGGGTTATGGCTGCAGCTCGTCAGATACAGAAAATCAGGAAAGCCTATTTCAGGAAAGTAATGCGAATGGATATAGGCTGGTTTGACTGCACATCTGTAGGAGAACTGAACACCCGAATTTCTGAGTAAGTAACCTTGAAAAAACATATGCTACAGGGAAGATTTTGCACTTCCTTCCAAACACAACAGAGTGCCAATAACTAGGCATTTGACAAACACCTTCTAATATAAAATACAGCTATGCACCTGGGACCACAGACCAGGCTGATTATCTCCCCCCTCTTCAATCTGAGTGCCATAACTGTTAAACCACAATTATTTCCCTTTTGTGTGTTTTCTGTGGGAGTTTTTTTTTGTTGGGTTTCGGGGTGGGTTTTTTTGCCAGCTTGTCTTACCCTTCCCTTCTCCTCCCGTGCCCAGTCTTTTCAGAGTGACCTATTATTTGGCTGCCAGTGCACACTCCCCTGAGACTGGAGATGTGGGTCTGAACCCTCTCTCACGTCCCAGAAAGGAAAATTATGTTAGGGGCATGCTTTGCTTTAGTTGGCTTTTAAAAGAAAAGAGTGAGCCTTGCTTAATCTTCTGCTAAAGAAGGTACAAGTACCTACCTTTAGAAAGGGACCCAAGGTAGATCAAGAAACCTTCTTATCCTGGGTAAACATTTAGCCCTGAGAACAGCGGCGTTTAAGGCTTGCTCCTCTTCTTAGTGGTTCCTGTTTACAGGCTGAAGGTAGCTGCGGGGTGAATATGCCGACTCTAGATGGCTCCCTGTTCTCAGCCGTGCCTGCATAATAGTAGTCACATTTGCAGAAGATTTTTCTGTAGTTGAAGGGGATTTTATTTGCCTTTACTCACTGCCTGGCGGTATCTATGACTTTCTGTGATGTTCTTTTTACAAAGAATTAATGTCAAGTGTAAGTTGCTGTGAAGAATTTCTCTGGCAAAAAATAGAAACTGAGCATGTATTTGTGTAATAAATAACACTTAGTTCCCTGTTTTTTTGAACAACATGTGCCTACAAAAAAGCTTCCTGACTGCAAAAAAACATTCTTCAGAAGAAATATAAACATGTTCTTCAACTCAACACTGTTACATTTTTCAGTTGCGGACTGTAATTTCACTTGATATATCAATGAGCTAACAACTTTGCACTTTAAACCTCAATGTCACTTGCTCCTATTTATTCCAGGAGTTCCCAGTTCTTCTAATCTCAGGGGTGAGGTAGTAGCCAAGTGTGGCAGAAGTATAATGACTGTTTTGCTTTAAGACATTTTTTCTGTGTTGGTAATGCGTAAGAGAGAACAAATGAACTCTGCAGCTGCCTAGGCGTTCAATGATGGTAACTGCTGCACCACTGTCCCCCATGTGATAGAGCTGTCATGTTTTCCCACTGCCTCCAGTGACAAAGCAGCCCCCCTCGGTTTTCCCACTCTCCCTCTCATTTAGAGAACAAACTACCTGATAGGGTGGAGAGAGGAACTGGGAGGTGGTGGAAGGTGGAACTAGAAGAGAGCTACAGCCCTCCTCCCTTTTCCTGCCCCCTCAGCAAGGCAGTGCGGTACATTTGCAGTGCCCCATGATGGGCGGATTGCCATGTCAGCTGTACTGTTATTCCACTATCAGATAGCTGCCTCCAGCTGGGATGTCTCTGCCCACTCCTTTGAATCAGCTGGGGCACAGTAGTAGGAACCAGCTAGTGAATGAGTCTGCTGGCAGGATGACTTTTCCTGGGAAAAGACAGTATCTTCTCTGCAGTATTCATGCATAAAAGCCTTCTGCCTTTGCAAAGGCACTTCCTTCACTGTAGCCCAGGGTCTTTGGAAGGGCTGATGGTGGAAAGAATAGGGGTGAGGAAGGGCCCTCTCCAAGGGAAAGCAACTAACCCAAATGTGGCCAAGACCTGCAACACAAATGAAAGATATGCTCTCCAATCGTCTGTTGGTTTCTTTTTTCCAGTGATGTTAACAAAATTAATGAGGCTATTGCTGACCAAGTAGCAATCTTTATCCAGCGCTTAACCACCTTTGTGTGTGGATTCCTACTGGGATTTGTCAGTGGCTGGAAATTGACCTTGGTTATCATTGCAGTCAGCCCTCTGCTTGGGGTTGGAGCGGCTGTCTATGGCTTGGTAAGTGAATTGTGAGAGGTTCATGTAGAGGTATGATGAGCAGGGAAAGTCATGGCATAGAGCTGGCAGAATTGGTGGAAGAGAAGGCTATTACATCCCTTTAAAGTCAAAAGAGGCAGATTGTGGTCACAGGAGCCCCAGGGGTGGGAGAGGGGGAGGTGGGCTTTGCTCCTGCTTTGCTTATTCTAATTCCCAGAATAATACGTCCTGCTTCTAAGATGGGACTGTAAGCATATGTTCTATTGGGTCTTGTGGATGGATATTATGGTTGCTAAGATCAGAACCTGGCCTACACCTTCTCTCTATTTATTACTACACACCTGGTTTAATGGTTACTAGACACAAGGCTTGATTTCTCTCTGTAGAGTAGGGGCTTTTAGAGATGATCAAGTTTCAGAGCTGTAAAATAGTTGAAACCAACTGCTCAAACTTACCTCAAGCTGTCCCTGTTCCTGGCAGCTGCTGTGTCCTCTCCCAGTTGTTCCCGTTCTGCTCTTCCATTTGCTCCCTGCAAACTCCCTGTCACTGTGCAGAGGAAGGACAGTGAAGAGGGAAACTGCAGGTTCCTCTGCCCTCTCACCTCCTCTCCCACACCCAGCAGGGCTGGGCAGGTCCTGCTCCTCCTCTGCACTTTGTCACACTCTGCTCTTTGGTTGGGGTCAAGCCTTTGGCTATCTCACTTCTTCTACATCAGGAACAGTTTGCTATCGTTTTGCTATCAAACCTCTAATGTAACTCTGACTAATTTCTCATCTTCCAGCACTCCTTTAGCACCTTATGCTGGCTGCAAGTAGATGCCATGAGTAATGACTCAGTGTGAAGTGGGAGAGCAGAATCCTGGCAGGGAATGAAATAAACCTCAGAACGCCTCTTTCCTTAATTTGCAATTTCTTTTTGAGGTCATTCCCCTTTGTGTTTGTAATTTTTCCCCTTTCCATTCTTATTTCTCTGTCCCCATTGCTTTCCTATCACATACCCACTGTTAAGTGTTTCCTCCTTACAAGCCTTTCCAGAGCAAGTCTTTGTCCTTTACCATAAATAAAACAGACCCAGGGTCAATCTAGCCTGTTTTCCTGTCTCCAAAAGTGGCTAATAGATGCTTCGGGTAGGGTATTTGAAGAGAGAAAGCAAATAGGGACACTTTAAAATTTCTATTGATATGTCATTCCCAAGCCAATGTGGTATCTTTATGTCGAATTGTACATGACTACATTTCCTTCCATGAATTTGAGCATTTTTTTGAGCCTAAGTAAGCTTTTGGCATCCACTGTGCTCTGGGCTGCTGTGCAGGGACCTCTTTGCTGTCGGCCCAAGAAGCAAAGCACAGTCGTGGGCATTATCTGTTTCCATTCTCCACCATCAGTACCATTACCTTTTCTTCCTGAAGCTGGGCTCTGCCACAGTGGCTAAAGGGCTGCTCTTGCCCCTTAAGCTCCCCCTTCCTCCCACCATGCACAAACCCTCAGTGTGCAGTCTGCTTAAGCCCAGTTAGCAGCAGAGAGGGAGGGAGGGAAAGCAGGTGGTGTCAGCTGCTCTTTCTAGCTACCTGGGTTGGCCAAGGGGATAACTGTTCTGCAAAACACATGCTACAGAGGTCTATGCCCTAATACTAGAAGACAGAAGTCTTCAAGTGTGCAGCATGCCTAATAAAAGCCTGCTTGGAGCGGAGGAGGTGACCTCATGCAGAGCAGACAGTGCAGTGTGACAGCCAGCACTGCTTACCACTGTCCTTGTCTGCACCTACAGTTCAGGTGTAACCACCACTTGTTATGCTTTTGTAGGCTGTGGCAAAATTAACAGGCCGAGAATTAAAGGCTTATGCAAAAGCTGGAGCTGTGGCTGATGAAGTGCTGTCATCCATCAGAACAGTGGCTGCTTTTGGTGGGGAGAAGAAAGAAGTTGAAAGGTTTGTTTGGGCAAACTGTAAGGTCTCTGATTTCTTTTTCCTGTAGCAACGTAATGCTGTAATGCACTTCAGTCACGGTGATTAGCCTCTAAATTCTACAACAATGACCATCTGTTAGCTCTGAGAATTATATGCATGTATGTTACAGAAATTTAGGTTTCAAATAACATTAGATATGCAAAACCAGTTTCATAATTCAGTCAATCAGTGAAATAAAACATCAGTAATACTATCTTCAAGTCATTCCCACTTGTAGGAACATACTGTCAATTTTTCCCCTAAACATTGTCTGATATATCACTTTTGCAGCACATCTGAAAACTTTGGGTACTTTCAAGCTAAGTAAGAACTAGTTCCAGCAAGACATAATGATTTGATAGTGGTAAGCTCAAATTTCTCTTAAATGCGTTTAAAACATAACATGGCTGTAGGACATGCCCTGAAGTGTTGGCCAAATTCTCAAATCCTGTGTCACTCTGCTAAAACCCCAAACCCCGTGGTGAAGTATCTGCAGTGAGTGTGGCTTTTCTTGTGCTTATTACACTAGAACACACAAGGATTTCATGATCTGGGAGCATTGCTGGTTTCAGCAGTGGTCTCTCACTTCAGAGTGAGAGGTATCAACGTTATGTGGACCCGCTGTTAACTGTAGCACAGCTGGACACCTCATTTCGTTGGTCTTTGCTTATTACGAATTTTCCATAAAGTTCATTTAATCCCCTTTTATTTTTCTCTCTTTCTACAGATATGATAAGAATCTGGTGTTTGCTCAGCACTGGGGAATTCGAAAAGGAATAATAATGGGATTATTCACTGGTTACATGTGGCTTATAATTTTCCTGTGTTATGCATTAGCCTTTTGGTATGGCTCTAAACTTGTCCTTGAAGAAGAAGAGTATTCACCTGGCACTCTTCTGCAGGTACCCATTTTAGCTTGATGCAACTTTTCTGGACTGTTTATTAAAACATTATTTCTGGAACACATATTTGTAGTGTTCTGGTATCCAGTGGCTCAGTGGTAACAAACACTGTATGTGTCTTTTAAAGATCATTACTCAGTGTATACGTGAAAGTATGTGACACAATTGGATAAGATTAAAAGAAAAAGAAAATCCATGTTTATTTTAAAGATTTGAAATGCTGCTTACTGCAGTCAGAATAGTGCTTTTGTGTGAGAGCCTGCTACGCAGTTGACAGAGGCCTGAAACTAGCTTTCCCATTTTGTGGGTCAGCATGTGGCTTCTGGGATATTGGCTTCTCTGAAGAACTTACTTTGTGATGAAAAACCCCATTGTGGTAAAGAGAAACCTAACCAAAGAAAGTTTTATCAAATCTAACCTCTCTCTCATGAACAGTTTCTGTTCCTTTGAATTGACATTTTCTGTTGCTATTTGCCCACCCAGCTCTATAGATGACAGAGAACATGTAGACATATAGGCTGATAGACACACATGGCTGTGACTCCTGCAGTGTATAAAAAAAATGTACTAACCTGCATGGCACTCATGCATCCACTCCTGCACAGCAGATGCTTTAGACACTGATGACCTACATGCAATAAAACCAACATCTACAGATATTTTGGTTATTTGCTTTAAGCCAGGACTGCCCAAATGGCAGGCTCCAGTCCAGACCCAGAGTAAATTTTTCCTGAACCTTGATAAGTCCTGGGTCTTCTGATGAGACATCTATTTCTGCTCCTTCTCTGCCTGTTGCACACCATGAAATCTCCCAGCCACCAGCAGCATGCAGTGCAAAACTTCCTGCTAAATGGAGCTTGGTAAATTACTCTGAGAACATTGTAAAATTGAGTTATTCTGTTCAAGGAGGATGTCCCTCACAGGAAATCATTTGCAACTGTTCTTGACACTGGTAGTTGATACAAGGTAGTGCTCTGAAAAAAACAGAAGTGAGCAATTTCCTTGCTTGCACATGATAACTATAGTTACGGGCTTCCAAATGACAAATGGCAAACAGTGAGGAGCTACCCTGTAGCCGAAAAATTGCAGCTGTCAATGGAGAGACTGTCCCTTATGCTCCCCTTCCTCTCTCAGTTTCCAGTCTTTCTTGTACTTCATGTTTTCTACCATACACTCCTAGTCTGGCAGCGGGGAGGAGGGGAGGATTTGCAGATACAAAACATTTATATATGCTTTTCCTGGTCTCTGAAAACTGTTGTGCACCAGCCATCCTGCACTGAGATACACTAAGCATTGCCTTCCTTCCTCCTTCTATCAGACGTACAGAACCTGCTCCCTCATGTTCATGATGGATTCTGACATGCATATAACCTACTTGTTTTGGGACTCGTTCACACAAGAAAATTAGTTTGCAGTAAAGCTGAGTATAAACTTATGGCATGATCTATACATCACAGTGTAGATGTTTGCAGTGCACAGTATGTGTACCGTAGATTCTTCCTCTTTAGCCACGGGGTTATTATCAGTAAACATCACTGGTGCAAGGGAGAATTGAGTCCTGTGTATTTTTCTTTCTTTCTCAACAGTAGTGTTTCCTTATACACTTTGCCCATTTATCATGACTGCTGTTTGTGTTGTATTCAAAAGGCTAGCTGAATGCTTGATTGCTTCTTAGCATAATTCTCAGGTATTGCCAAACTACAATAAAGGATTACATACCAGTTTTCCTAACGCTCAGGGTGAATGTTCAAACTATCAGCCACAACAAAGCAAAAAATGAACCAAAAGCCTACACCAAAGACATTATCCAAACATTTATAATCTGCTCTGCCAAACCACCTCTGTAACTGAAAAACTAAGGAGGAATAAAGCAGAGTAAATTCTAGGAAAAACTGTTCATTCTGTCAAGCACACCCTGGTATATTAGCACAGAGAAGAATGAGCTATACTTACCATACAATGCTGATCACTCCTCGTTGTAAGAACTGGCAATTAATGCATTTGCACGTGTGTAGTATATAAGTGGTCAATAAGACTTTATCTTTTGATGTTCACCATCTTCCAGTGTCCTGTACTTTGAAGCCCCTGTCTCTTATCAGAATTGCCAACATTTTCAGCCATAGATGGTTCCCATCTACACTTAAGAACCTTGATAAAACCCCCTTCATAGGACATGAAGCATTAGCAGCTCTTAGGAAATTTTGAACAAATGCTTTTGGCATTTTGGTTGATGTGCTCCAGCATCAATTCCTTCTGATCTGCAAGGCCAGACTCCAAAGCTGAATTCTTGGAGTGAAGTGTCCTCTGATATTTGATACTCTGTCCAGATGCCTTTATCATCTGTCGGTCCTTCCAGGAAGAGTAGATGCTGTGGCTTATTTTCTTTCATGTTGTCCTAGGCTTAGACCAAAAGGGGATCCCGGGGCTTTCAGAAGAGGGTCACTAGTGAGTAATTTTTCCCTTTGGTTCTTGGAAAAGGACTTGAAACAGTGAGCACATTGGGTATGTGCTACCTACAGAAACTGTCCACCTGCACTGATAGAATAATCTCACCTCAGTGTTGGTAGCAACCCTTACAGTTATTTCTCTGTGAGATGGTGAAAAAATGTTCTCTGTAGCTGGTACTTGCTCCGGAAGTAAGTTTTGTGACTATTGGAAGAGACAGGAACTGCAATATACAAAGGTTGTAATACGGTGTTTTAAGCTTCTTTCCGTTTTTTAATTGTTGTAGCCTCTCATCTGCTTACTGGTAAGACATCTCCAAAATAATCTACTTGCCACCGATGTTCAGTTCCAGCCCTTTTTTCAAGGCACAAGCACCCAGTCAAATTGAGGTGGCTTAAAAATACATTAGTGGCACCTCATTAAATATCTGGGTGCACACATTTTTAGGCCAGGGCAAATATGAGGTAAGTTGATTTACTTCAACCTGGAAGAAAAGTTGTGAAAGACAGAGAAAAATCCCTGCTAAGATGCATTTGTTTGCTTTCTTGTGGGCTAATTGTGCTCATATAGTGAATCACTGCAGCTCAGCTGATACACAAGAAGTCATTAAGCCATTGTAGTTTGATTTGCCTAAGCTCTAAACTGTAATAAAAATATGATATCATATTTTGTTAATTTCTTTTTCTACTTCTTCAGGTTTTCTTTGGTGTTTTAGTAGGAGCTTTAAATCTTGGTCAGGCATCTCCCTGTCTGGAAGCCTTTGCCACTGGCCGTGGGGCTGCAGCAAACATTTTTGAGACAATAGATGAAGTAAGTAATACATTTCTAAGCTTTGTCACTTGGTAGTGGAAAAATAATTAAATAAACCTCAAGCAGTAGTAGGTTTATCTACTGTGTAAATGAGGAAAAATGAGTGCAATTAAAGAAAAATTGACTGTGCAGTAGAAAGGTCTAGCAGCATGCATATGGGCTTAGAGAGGGTGTTGAACAGATTTCTTAAGAAGTGGCCTGTTTCTGTATAATGAAGTTTTACCTCAGCTACTGCTGCTTCTTACTCCCATTTCTCCTTACATACAATTACTCATTAGTGCTGGCCCATGGAAAGTGTAAAGGCAGGCAGTAATAGTCACCTTGCAGCCAAACTTGCAGCAAGCATCTAGCTCCCAGCCTCCAGATGGCATCAAAAGATGTGGCTCTATTGGCATTAGTGGCAAAGGTGGCCTCTGTCACCTGTCCCAGAGCTACCCCGAGTTAAAATGGGACCAAATAAGCACAGGCACTGGTCACGCAGCAGTCATAAATGCTAATATTATCTAGACTGATAGATAAGGTTGTATGAGAAAGTCTGAGAGACGTTGGCATTTATTGATGAGGATTCCTTTCTATATCTATATAAATTTAGTGGTTGGCAAAATACTGCTGATTTCTTAGCAGTACCTAGTATCTCTGGTCATTGACAAGCTTTATTGTGCTAAAAGCTGTGTAAACACATTAAAATGCTGCTTTTCTTTTACAGAGCATATATAAGGGTATATAAAGAAGGCTAGAGGGCTAGAAGGGCTGTGGTAATGCTAATGGACTTTTTAGTAACCCTTCAATGTTCTATAATAACGATAACACCTATGCCTTATAAATGCACTTCATAAACTAAAGCTCTAAGATAAGCTGAAAAAGAGATGAATAAGGGAAGTGTTTTTTAGAGAAAGATTTAAAAAGCACAAAGAGTTGCAACAGTAAGAATTAATCACAAAATTAAAGATAAGGCTGAGTCAGATAACCTTAGGGTAAAAAAAGCAAACTAAAGTGAGATTTCATCTCTCTAGAGAAAGGGTGGCAAAATTAGATCCATCTGCTTGACACATTTGTAGATTTGTGATTAGACAGTAAAAGCACAGCTCTGCCCTGATACAGTTTTTTTTCTGGCACTAAACTTATAGCTATGCTGAGGTTCCAATTTGCAGGATCAGTGAAACTTTTCTCCATAGCTTAGTAGCTGAATTTAAGAAAGATATATTTCTGAGGAGGAGCCAGTCTTTTAGTTGTTCTTAACATCTTAGGACATACGCATTTCTTATATTAAAATTTCCTTCAATCTGTTAGGCTACATAAAAAAATCATGCACATTTCAATTATCAAATATTGGTGTTGCTATAGTTTTGATTAATTCTTTGTATTCCATGCTTCAAAAATCTATCCTTAGAAAATTTGATTTCTTTGCGATTCCGCAAAACTCTCTTAGTTCTCTGCTCATGTCTAGCAGCCCACAATACCCAAGGCCTGGCCAAAAGTATGTGAGACCCAAAGCACTTCAAATCAGAATTCCAGCTCTTAGGCCTGGGTGTGCAAGGATGGATGCTTTAAATGCAAAGTGGTGAAGTGTGCAGATTTCAGCAATGGTTATTCAGTGCTGTAGGAGATGTTTATATGAGCTAAGTAGTGCCATTTTATTCCTGAGGAGCTGGCTAAATTAACTTAGTCAAAATGCCTCTCAGTCAGCTATTCTGTTCCAGCAAAAACTAGGTGAGTGGTTGACTGTGGTAATTGCAGTAAGCCTAAAATGAGAAGAAGGTGCATTCATCTTGCCTACACTACCCACTGGTGATGACTTCCCCAGCGTTTTGACCTTCAATTTCATGTCCCTTGTGTGCTAGCCCTGGGGCAGAGCCTGCTGCTGGCTCTGTGCAGCCAAGTGCTGTTCAAACAGAAGTGCCATGGCTTTGTATGGTATTGGGAATATTTATCTACTGCAGCAGTGTTGGCTGTTTAACAGCAAATAAATAACACAATAAATTCTATCCTAGAAACCCGCCATTGACTGCATGTCAGAAGATGGCTACAAGCTGGATAAAGTACGAGGTGAAATTGAATTTCATAATGTAACATTCCATTATCCCTCCAGACCAGATGTAAAGGTAATTATTCATCATCCATCCTGTGAACACAACTACTGCAAACAATCAAAATATCCTGGTTCTGCCAGCAATTTCTAGATTTTCAGTAGAGTTTGTTTTCCAGAAGCCCAGACCCTCTGTTTAAAAGTAGACTAAATAATTCTTCTATTAAAGGGTTCTTCTACTTACCGTTCTGCCTATTTTACCATTCTGGCATATCCATTGCCATACGTATTCCTTGCTGCTGAACATAAACTCATAGTAATTTCAGACAAATTCACCTGCATACAGCTTCTCTTACAATCAATTATGCACTTGTACCAACATGCGCTAGAATAGGACACAAAGTAATAAGCTGAATGGTGCAAGGATATTTTATAAAACTCTTTCATTACCCTGGGGACATGCAATGTGACCCATTAAGATGCTAGGAAAAAGTACAAGAGCCTTGGCTGTATACCCCATTATTTCTCTACTACTGTGTTTGAATTGACGAATTCTCCTTGGAACAGCATACTATGGGACAAGCAAATGAGTGCTATTGCTTCTAAAGACAAGCATATGAAGTATCAGATTTTTCTACATAATTTCACTGTTACATTCTTAATATTTATGCTTTAACAAGCATTCATAATACATGTACAGTGTTCTTTAAAGGGGATTTATTGCCAAGTTCTCCAATGGTGTTAACTTGACTAGTTCTTAATTATGAACAACAGGAACAAACAAAGATCAAAATCTGCCTGCTTGTCATGGAAAACAGTGCTCTGCATTTATAAACTCTTCAAACAATGTAAAAATATTTGGCTTTCTTCTTCCTTTTTCTTCATAATATTTTTCTGAATTTCATAAAATTGCTTTGAATCTCTATTTTAAGATACACGATATACCCACTTGGTTGTATGACTATGAGAGAATTAGAATGGATAGATTCAGTTTATTATTTCTTTTCCTCTCCAGATTTTGGATAACCTTAATATGGTTATTAAAGCAGGGGAGACAACAGCTTTTGTTGGAGCTAGTGGAGCTGGAAAAAGTACAACTATACAGCTCATCCAGCGTTTCTATGACCCCAGTGACGGCATGGTGAGTATACCAGCCTAGAATGTGTTTCTCTAGCCTTAGGGACTTGAAAGAATGACATGGTTTCTTCTCCAAGGTGGGAAGGAAGACTCCTAACTTTATTTTCTTTTTTATTTCAACAAGCAAAATACCTTCTTGTGCATTTCAGGGGATGCTGAACAGTCTTATCAAAAATAATCATGTGAAAGAAAAAGACTTAGGAGAAAATAAAAATTCAATGCTAAATCTGAGTAGAAACTATACCTATAGATACAATAATTCAGGAGTGACAAATCATTTTCCATTCTGGAGAACACAGTATTGAACATTTAATCATTGTCCCATAATATTGCTTTAGTATATGCAATTACCATTTAGTAATGGATTGGCTAAGAATATGAATTTCATCTATTAACAATCTCATTCCATTTATGTGTTCCTAGTTGGCACAAATCACATACATGGTGACATGTATTTGAATGTATAAAAGACAAAGAACCAATCTATTGTAAACATATAATCATAATTTTGGTTATTACTTTCCACCAAGTTTTTTTTCTGAGGCCAAGAAAAAAGAGGTTTTGGGAAATGAAATCAAAGAGCACAACTCCTAGGCCCAAGAACTAGCATATACTACTGCCAATGCATTGCATTATTTTATGTATGAAAGCTGTTGTTTACACTGGTCATGGAAATACAGCATCACAGGCTCTTCATTTCCATTGTGTCTTTCTTTGTCTCTGAGCTGGAGGGGATAAAGTCCCTAACTTTTTTTCTTTTGTCCATGTTTTAATTGGCTTCTGTAGATTACCCTGGATGGCCATGACATTCGTTCCCTTAATATCCAGTGGCTACGCTCACAGATTGGTATTGTTGAACAAGAGCCAGTTCTGTTTGCCACCACAATTGCAGAGAACATTCGCTATGGTCGGGATGAGGCTACCATGGAAGACATAATCAAAGCAGCCAAACAGGCCAATGCTTACAATTTTATCATGGAATTGCCGCAGGTATGCTGTGCCTTGTAAAATGTTTGGCAGAATTTGATGGAAAAATAGAGAATCCTCTTGTCCCTCCCCCATTCAGCCATTTGCGCTCAGGTGGAAGGGCAGAAGATTAATATAGATCGTAGGCAGCAACCTTTCCTTTGACTAGAGTTAATTAGGTCTTACTATGTGTATGTCACCACACTTAAAAAAAACCCCACAAAATGAGAAGAATTAGTTCCTCAGGAATCATATGCACAATATTCAATATCATGGTAATAATCATAGCATGATTTTAAAATATGTATTTTTCATGCTGTGGAGATCTGTTTCTGCTCAGGCCAAAAGCAATTTAGAGCCCAGGCTCTCACTAGCCAGCATATGTTTCTGAGCAGTCTGTACTGATTCTCACAACCTCATCTCTTTGTACGAGCTCTGTAAGTTAGCTGGAGGTTCCCTCTTCCCTAGTTTCTTCCCTTATGATGACAGGGCTTTGATTAGTCCTCTGGTATCCTCCTTACAAAGCCTATATTTGATAGTACTGGGCTGTTTACTTTTCTAGAATGTTATTTTGCCAAGTAGCTTCTCAAAGGAAGACGTTACAACAGTGAATCTGATTGACAGGACTGAAGTACCATTAACTAATGTCAGTACATAATTTTTATCCTCCATCTATGCATTTCCAGGCTTCCAGGAAACTATTCGTAGAAAGACTGTATAAAGGCCCCTGTTTATTTCCTGGAAATGGGGGAATAAACAAGATTTGGCTCCAGGTGAATATAATTAGCCTGGCTCTCGAGATGCTAGGCTTTATGTGTTTGTTTAATTCTCTGCTTGAACCTGATGCCACCAGAGTATGATGTCCACGAATCACAGACACAGTGTTCATGAGTCACAGGCCATCAGCAGACAAGTCCAGCTCTATGGAAAGTTGGCTGGTGAGTCATCTGATGGAGAGTAGGCAGGCATTTCCCCTCCATTTCAGCATTTGTTGATAGAGTTGTTCTGAGCCAAACCAGAACATTTCAGCTTTTTATCAGTACATACTTTTGGCTTGGGATTTGAACCCCAGTTCAGGCAAAATTATGTTGTTCAATATGAAGGAAGTTATTTCATCAGCTCTCCTTTGAACCTGGTACACTAACAATGTTTGTGTCTTTCAAAGACGATATTTTTTTAAGTCTACTCCCAGGACAAATCTGAGAGACATTGTACCAATGTCTTCACCAGAAGGTTAACAGACCTTTTTGTTACCTGTTTCATTTTCATTTTTCTCCTCCACACAGCAATTTGACACTCATGTTGGAGAGGGTGGAAGCCAGATGAGTGGAGGTCAAAAACAGAGGATAGCTATTGCTCGAGCTCTTGTGCGAAACCCAAAAATCCTGCTACTGGATATGGCTACATCAGCACTTGATAATGAAAGTGAAGCTACTGTCCAAGAAGCACTTCATCAGGTTTGCTATAGCATAGCATAAATCAGACTTAAAAGGGCAGAAATTATTTTTAATGCACTCTGCAGCGGGTGCTGCTGAATTGCAACAAAGCAGTGAGAAGATTTTCTTAATAGCTGTTTCATATGCACAAGTAGAACCTTACTATTATTGACAGAAAATAATTTTTTCATACATTGGGACATTAACTGAAATCTATAGCTCCCTTTTCTCAGAAACAGATGCTCATCTATGGGCTATGGATGGAGTTCAAGTCAAAGTCAGCTGAAACCACTAGAAAGACTCCTGTTGATTTGTCCAAACTTTAGATTACATACTGTTGGTTCCAAGCATTTCTGTTTGCTGTTCTGGGAATGGAGCTGTTATTGTTCCCTGTCAGGCTCGCCTTGGCCGCACAGCAATCTCAATAGCTCACCGCCTGTCAACCATCAAAGCTGCCGATGTCATTGTTGGGTTTGAGCATGGAAAGGCTGTGGAGAGAGGAACTCATGAGGAACTCTTGAACAGGAAAGGGGTTTATTTCATGTTGGTGACCTTGCAAAGCAAAGGAGACACAGCACTTAATAGAGAAGCAACAGAAAGTAAGTGTTTTGTTTTCCTTTATAAAATGATGTAAAATTCCACAGAATGCAGATGATTTTTTTTTTTTAACGGCTGAATTTTAGCATTCATAGAAGTAATACATTGATAGCCCTGGGCAAAGTGTTTTTACTGCATATGCCTGAATGACCTTCCTACTATAGATCTGCCCTGAAACGTTAATCCTGACCTGCAACACCCATCATTTTATAGCTCCATTTAGTGCTGACAGTCCAGTGCTGCTGCATTTGAAATGCAAGCAAATGACAGAGTATGCTGAAACCACCTTATTTGTTTTGCTAGAGGCAGATTTGAATCAAAGCTTCTGGAAATGGAGATCTAATAGAATGATCTGTTGTATTTTTGTGGAGCATCATACCTTGGATATGATTATCTTAAAAGAAGAGAGAAATTACAGCGCTAAAATAGGGAACAGCTGTTAGCAGTCACACCACAAGTGAGATGGTCCTTGGGTTAATATTCAGTTAACTTCACCATGTCAAATACCAATATAAAACTTGTGGTACATGTAAGTTGAGTAGCAAGGTTGTATTACATTCCTTGTCTTCTACAAAGTATTCCAGTTATGACTTGGAGACACTGCACTTTTTTGCAGAGCCACAGTGGACTTCGGTTGTATTCAATTTTAGCACAAACTGAAGAGGTCTATATACTATATTTTACAGCAGAAGAAAATAACGTGGTTGAGCCAAATCTTGAGAAAGTCCAGTCATTCAGCAGAGGAAGCTATCAGGCCAGTTTGCGGTGAGTCTTAAAAATGATTGTAAATCTCAATATGTTTCCAGACCTCTACACTTCATCCCACTATTCCAAAATCCAAATAGTGCTGATGAATCACTTCTCTGTATGTTGCGTATGAGAGGGTGGAAGGGCTGCAAGCATTTTGCTAAGACAGAGTTCAGTTCAGAAGAAATGGCTTGGGCAATACATTACTGATTGAAGGCCCATGGATAAATAGCAAGACTCTTAATTTTACTCCCCTTTCTACCCATAGTACCTTCTCTCCAATTCTGGTCTACTGTGTTAATGTTCCATTTTTAATATTACTACCATACAGCCATATATTTGTATTACCTAATTCATTTTCAGTCCAGTCACTTGAAAAATGACTTGCTGTGCAATTACTTGAGAAATCAATGCAATGTACAAGGACATTTTTATTATGGCTTTTACTTGATGAAAGTTAGAGCATTTTACAAGCCAGACTGTCTTGTAGCTAGACACTTACTATTTCTTTCAGGCAAGCCTGTGTCAGACAAGGCAAATGAATGTCTCCTACATTACAGGGTTATGTTTTGTCAGGGATAGAGGTGGATTGCTTCAGCATCCTTTTTTGCTGGACCAAATTACTTGATAGTGATAATGGTGAATTGACTTGGTGTGTAAACATCTTGTGCAAATATAGTAGGATACACAACAATTTTACTTAACAAATACACAGTGCAGGGTACATATGAGACATCCGAGTGGTGGTGGCGGAATACGATTTTGAAAAGTATTTGTCCCTGTTGTGGGATATTTTCCTCTCAAGAAGTTGAGACAACATAGAAAAAAGAAAGAAAAAGTCCATGGGATTCCTATGATTTGCTTCAGTGAATTCTGATTTAGTTGATATGAAAACTGCACCTGCTTTGCGAGCAAGTCTTGTGTTACTGAGCTGTGAAGAACAAACCGTTTCTGTCCTCTTTACAGAGCTTCGCTTCGGCAGAGGTCCAGATCTCAGCTCTCTAATGTGGTCCCTGACCCTCCATTATCCATTTCAAGAGATCATGCAGAGTCTATGTATCTTATGCCTTCTCATGGAGAAGATGATGAACGAGCAAAAAAGGTCAGGTCTAATAGTTTGTTATTGAATTTTCAACTGAACAGGCTATATACTTGGTAATGATAACCTGTATATGTATGCCTCTGTTATAGGAGTTGTTGGCAGATATGTACGTCTTCTTAGATTGATCCTTCTCTCTACTTAAACAAACCACAGCTTCAGTTCTTATCCTCTGTGTAAACCCTAGACTACATTTTGATGGCTGTTATGCTTATTGGTCCCTATAACATTTCTAGCAGAACTTGACCTGTTGGTAAATTGATATATGTTGTAGATTAAGTTGAAAAAGCATATTCATAAAAGCTGAAGTAACTGACAAAAAGCAAATGCTCAGTCTGTGAGATGTAACAGCCACTCAGTGATACAAACAACACTGCTTCTTGTTCAATAAAGAGTAAATTCACTTTTGCCTCAAAATCTTTTGGAGACTTGTGTAAAGAGAGACTCTCATTGCAACCTAACCCAGAGTCCTTTTACTGAGAGTGTCCTTGTGCAATCAACTGGCATAGAAGATAAAGACAGCATGCCTTAAAATTATGCAGAATATGTGGGAATATATACAGTGGGTTTCGAAAGTGCTTATGAAGCTCCCTGCACCAATTTGCATGGCTACGTTGTTCAGTGCAGAGAGCAGCAGTTAGAAGTTACTGTTCTTGCTATTTCTAAGCCTATTCTGTGGATAAATAGAGGGCCTTAGCGCTGTCACTCTGGCACTAGCTCGGAAGGGAGAGAAAATACAAGATGCTTCCACCCATTCCTCCTTGCACATTTCCAGCAGATAGGTCTTCACAGTGTCTCTTTTGTCTGGGCATTCCCAGCCATATGAACTGAGGGAGATGAGCAGGGCTCAGCACACTGAGTGTTACAAAAATTCTGCACAAATCAAACTGCAGGGTAGGTTATAATTTGATGATGAATATTCTGCTCTTGCTGGGAATAATTATGGGAATTCAGCATATAGTCTGAGGGTGTTTCACAGAAGGGAGGTGTAATTTGCATGTATAAAGCCTGAATGCAGCTATGCCTCTGAAATCTCTCTTGTTTTAATTATATAGCATACCTGTTAATTTGATGCAGAGTCTGATCAGTGTGTTCACCCACAATACTTTAAAATAATATTTAAGAAGATTCCATGAGTGATGCAAAAAGCTGCTTGTGAGGAAGAAGTTTAAGTTTTGGCACTGCCTCATCTGGAGGCAGCAAAAAGGGAACAGCCTGTTTCAGTGGCAGAAAATCTTAAACTGGTTGTAATTAACCTCTTAAATTGGAATCAGTAGAGCTGCACAAGGCATGAATCTCTCCCTTTTTCTCCAGGGACAGTAAAGGTAATAATTTATGTAACCCTGTTGTGACACCCTAAACCTACAAAAGAGCTCCAGACAGCAGCCAAGACCCATCATTGCCCCTTCCTGTACAAAGCTAGAGCAGCTGTTTGGGCGCTAGATGACCATTTAACAGACTATTTTATCTTACTGTCAAAGGGATAACATCACTGGGGGAGTGCATTTGCTTCATAAATCCAACCTATTTTTTTAGGAGTCTGCTGTTGTGGAGGAAGATGTCAAGCCTGTACCATTTACCAGAATTTTGAAATACAATGCCTCTGAATGGCCATACATGGTGCTTGGATCTCTGGCAGCAGCTGTGAATGGAGCAGTCAGTCCACTCTATGCTTTGTTATTCAGTCAGATTCTTGGGGTACGTTATGCTAACCTTTTAAAGTGTGTTTTAGCTCTGAAGCAGAGGGGAGTGAAGGTATGATGCAGAACTTGACATGTTTTGGGCAAATCTTTAGATCTTGTCAAGTAAATGGGGTTAGCCTTCTTGCCTATGAACAATTATTCAGTAGAGATATTTATATCACTGTCATCACAGTATCATTTGAGCTCTTTGAAGGGGGAGGCTTATTAGCATTTGTCATGTGTTCTTCATCATCTCTCTTGTTCACTCTCCAGGAACTGTTGGGAGTGAGTTTTTATTACTTGCATACAGTTTATTTTAGATGAGACAAGGTGTACCTCACGTGCAGGTGCAGTGGAAAGATATGCAGAGGTTCTTCCCTGCAGAATTTTATTCTACAGACTTAGCCAAGCCTTTGAGAAAGCTTTGGATCAGATCCAAAAAATACTTCACTTTTTTTGTTCGTATATTTCAGGCAGCTGTTTGTTGCCTGCTCCCTGCAGAATGCCCAGGGAGAGGTAGAAAATTGTAACAGGGTTCATAGCTGCCAGCAACAAGTAGACTTGCATCAACAAGTTTGGAAGACAAGCAGGACGTAGGAATATGCTTTAAACCTTGGCATTCACTAAAGGATGCATTACCATCAAAATCCACAGCCTTGCTTGAAAAGAGTTCAACCATGACTGTTTTTTCCTTCAAAAACTTGCTGTAATAGAAAGAGGATGCTTCCCCTTTTGTAAAACAGCTTTTTTGGGAAACATTTGCCAAGCTAGTGGGAAACTGGAGGGGCTGCCTGAAGAAATTCAGTGCTGCTCTAACTAATGGCAAGGAAAGTGTCCTAAATTTTTCAAGAATTAGGAGGATGGAGAAAACCCCTCTGTTGATGCTGTTTCTTATCAGGTAAAGTAATGACACATTCACTGGGAAGAAAATGGGAATGCCACTATTGTTTTGTGGTTTGTGTACCCACCTGAGATAGGATAAAACTTGTGTTGTGATTCCCACTTACTTGTTTAGGTCATGGTAGGTACATTTGTGGGCAAAGAATATATGACCTAAAGGGCAGACAATCTTCTAGCAACTGGAGGTCCAAAACCTATCAGGGAGGAAAGAGTGAATGAATGAACGCCCCAGCATCTGAGCTACTGATTAGAAAAGGATTGAGAAAATGCTCCTAATAGCAGTGCCAGCAATCTATCAAAAGAAAGATTGACCTTTTGCTGTTAGTTTTTTTGGCAGGTTGTTTTGGCTTAGACATTTCTCTCTGGGAAGTTACTCAGGACTTTGAATCACATTTACTTGCAGCTTGATGTTTGCTAGCTGAGATCCAGGGCCGGGCAGAGCAAAAGACATTCCAGTCCCTCTTGACCCACTTAGTGGCTCCTGATCCATGTGCTTGGCCTTTTAGCAGTAGGTGTGCCACCTCCAAACACTTTTTGAGTGTCTAGACATCATGCCGAGGACTGTGGCTTTCACTAGACAGCAGGTGAGACACTGCTATGTGCATTCCTTTTGAGAGAGGTTTTCTAGACACCAGGTCCTGCAAGATGCTAAATGCCTTCATTGCCAGGGATGAATTTCTTCTCTTGAAGGTCTCAGTCCATCAAGTGAGAGAGGCTGCAGGAAAAATAAACAAGCCAAAATGAACATGAGCAAAGTCCAACATCTGTGTTTCATTACTCATAAATTTAAAACATTTCTGACTGGTGCCAGGGCAGTCAGGCAGATGGAATATGCATCTGCTTTCTAAGCTGTCTGAATATCAGCAACGATGTTGTGACAGACACGTGGGCTTGTACTCTGGGACCAATATGCTGGGGAAGTGAGGGGAAAAATCCCCACAGCTATGAAATGAAAGGATAAATTTAGCAAAGTCTGCCTTGAAGGTTCTCAGAAATTAATCCCCAAAAGTGAATGAAGAATGGGATAATAGTAGATATGTCTTCTGATAAGTTCAGATCAGAAGTGTACCTTTGGAACAAATTTCTCAGTAGTTGCTTCTTACTATGCTTTGGTTCCCACTATGGACCTGTCTCAGAGTATGGGAAATGGATCCTTTCCATTGAAACTCAACTGGAAGATGTGCTCCGACTGCTGTTGGACATGTAGCCCATGGCCCCAATAAAAGATAGTCCACGCTAAAACTGCTGAAACTTATAGAACCTGAACATGGACACCTCAGCAACCACTCTTTCCTTTTATAGACCTGATGCTATTGTCCATGCTACATGTTACTGTAATCAGTGTTATTTTTTTAAATCAAGAACATAGGTCAAAAACATAGCTGAGCATGTTAGTTCAATTTTACAGGACAGATTTGCAAGGGGAAAAAAATGCTCTGTTTGCAATACAGAGATCTCTTCCCAATGAATGTTATCCACATTTCCTTCTGTAGGACTATAAATGCTATTGCTCTCAGTTTAGGGCGAGTGTAAGCATGTACTTCAGCCCATTGCTTTTCTTGAGCTGGGATGCTTCCTTAAATTTAAAGCTTGCAATAGGAGTCCCAGACTGACCAATAACTGGCTTCACCAGAAACCCTCAAGGTGTCTTGCAGACATTGCATTTCTCTCAGCCTTTATCTAGGAGCAGTGGAAAGCCTGGCCACAGGAACTGGGAAGGCCTTTCACAACATGTTTCTTGCATAAGAGAAAGCAGGGGAACTACTTTGAATGTGGGTGATATGGATAGACTATTAAAGCAAAGGCTCACAGCACTCTCCCTTTTCATGAGCACCTTTCATAAACAGGGGTATGGATCCAGCCTCCCTGAAATCAGGAACTGTGTTGCCTTTGACTGTCTTGAAATGAAGGCTCCTACATAATCTTGCCTACCATCTAGCCATATAGAAGCAATGAACAAAAGTTTATTTATAACAAGCATAAATACTTACTGGGACTCACTGTAGGGTTCTAGGGCAAGTGTTTATCTCTTATTTCAATGCTCAGTCTTGTATTTGGTATTTATTTATTCAACTATAGAGAAAAATTTCGAAGTGTGAAAAGAAAAAAATGTTAAGTTCAACCCACGTATGGGGCCATCCCAGTGTTTCTGGATGAATGTGCAGAGAGAGCACGCAAATCACTTGTGAAAAAGCCATCAGCATCTCTGGAGAGTGATGTTTTTCATCCCAGTTCACATCTATATATTTATTATGATCCATCACATACTGTGTTTATCATACTGTTTATTATTTACTCATTAGAATTCTTATTCATTTCAACAGAGATTTTGCTGATGTTTTTTCATATGAAAAAGTACCACAGCACTGTAATTAACATGACATACATGTTAACAAATGTTCACAATGATAAGTAGTTAGTTATTCCCCTGGTTATGTTTTAGGCTAGCTATGCATGTGGCATGACTGCTACTGTGAAGTGCATTTTCCCATTCATGCCTAGAAATTGCATACCATGATGATACAGAAAATACCACCACAGCAATTCTAAATACAGAATCCTTGCAGGACACACTTTATGCATGCACTGAGTTCACCTTGTATCTCATTCAGACCAAGTATTTAACTAGAATACTTCCTACAGGGGAAAAAACAAACAAACAAACAAAAAACCAACCCAAAAAACCAAAACCAAACCCCCAAAACAGTAATATCTTTTCTAGATACGTAGGTTACAGAGATAGATGAAATCTGCTCACAGCCTGTTCAATTCAGGATCAAACATGGATTACTAAATGTACAGTGGGTTTCATTATGGGGATAGGAACAGCAGCAAACCATTATATGTTTTGTTCTTATTATGGCAGATTAAAACATGCTTGGTGATTTTTTTTTTTTTTTAAACAAAGATTAATCTGAGAAAGTAATATGCCTTGCTACTGATAAGACAGCAAGGCATTGGAACGGCTTTTAGCTTGAAACACTAAGTGCTGTCTTGATATTATAATTTTGGATTTTGCAGGATTTATTTTGTTGCCAAGGTACTGATGTACAAAGTTAAAATACTTGAAGTGGAATTCCCACTAGAGAGCAGCTATTTCTTTTTCTCAAATTCATGCTCTAATTCCTCTCTGTTACTTTGATGCATAGCTCACTTTGAACTGTAAATAACTTGAGTTGACCTTTTAAGACTAGTACTTAAGTTTATTTTTGTAGAATTTTATATTTTGCAGCTGTAATGAAAATTCCTTCTTCTCTTTCTACTGTTAAATACTTACCTAGAAGACTTTAAGCTGGTTTTGATTTAAGGAAATGTCAAATGCACAGGTTGTTTTTAATTACACCTTACAGATAACAGATTGAGAGATTAGTCAATTTATAGTAATTTTTACCTGTGAAATCCAATTAGAATTAACTTAAGATTAGTGGAGAAGTATAAACATGAGCTGTGGCTTATATCTGCAAGTAGCAGAAGTAGTTTAACAACTTCAGGTAGGTTAACTGACCTACATATCAACGGCTCTGACTGAAAGGAATTGCTGAAGGATGGCTACTTAGATTTGGACCACTACTTCAGCAGCAGCCAGTAATGCTGGCAGGTGTTGAAAAAGGCCAGGTATTAAGAACAAGCGATAAAAGGAAAATACCATGGTGACTGGAGTGGAATGGGGTGGAGGGGCTCTACTTTTAAGCACTAGTGCTTTTTCTCAAGTACCCAGCAGTAAGCAAATAGCTCGTATCCACACTCCTTCAGTAAAAGACAATAGGTTCCTCTTGAAGCCTACTTCTAGCATTTGTTGGTGTTGTGCAAGGAGAGTCATGCTAGGGTATAATTATTACACAGACTAAAGTTGCAATTGGCATAGATTAGAGAGGAGGTAAGGGAGCTGCTGCACTGTTGCTTTGTCGCTATGCTATTTATTTCATTACTATCATCTGGGTATCACACTGGATCTTGTTTAGAGTGGGGGGATGTTTGATTAATTATAACTAGGGATGGGCAACGAGTAATAGCAGTACATGCAGACATCAAATATAATAAACTTGTTGTTTAATAGGAGTAAAAAGCATTATGCTGTACCCAGGCTCACCTTAGGAAAGATAAGGAATCAGGCCTTTGCAAGGGGTGAGGGAGAGCTCTGTGTTCTGGCTTTGGTTCTAGGCTTGGCCTCTGCACTTGGCAATAGGGATTCATGAACAAACTTCACACACAGCAAAACTGACACTTCTAATATGACGCCACCCATTTTTTTTCAAAGACCTTCTCCATTCTTGATGAAGAAGAACGAAGAATCCAGATCAATGGTGTCTGCCTACTCTTTGTCTTCGTTGGAATTCTTTCATTTTTCACACAGTTTCTACAGGTAATAGCAGTCCGGTATGGGTAAATTTTGTTTCTGATCCCTTACTCTGTGGGTATCTCTTTCTGTACAATATTTGTATTTATTTTTACGCACCCCAGGGATACACCTTTGCCAAGTCTGGTGAGCTGCTTACAAGACGGTTAAGGAAAATTGGTTTCCAGGCTATGCTAGGGCAAGACATTGGTTGGTTTGATGACCAGAAGAACAGCCCTGGTGCTTTGACTACAAGACTTGCAACAGATGCCTCACAGGTCCAAGGGGTAAGACCTGGTAGCTTAAGAATCATTTTACTATAAGCACTGATTGAAGGCTTATTTTGGCATATTGTCACAGAAATTAGCTAGCATGCTGTCACGACCCAGACTGGACAAACTAGGGAGTTGTGTTTAATTTGAAATTCCCTTGGGCTAAATTAAGGTGAAATGACACCAAATGATCAGTTAAAGATTTTATTCATGACAGAAGCAAACTGAACTGGGGAGGGATGGTAGTAGGTAGCAGGGTTTCTCACAACAGGAATTGGCATAAGACTACTTCTGTAAACCATGTAACCCAGGGTAACCATAGACATCAACTCAGGAGATGTATATACATCAACAAGGAGATCCCTCCCGTTGAGTCACGAGGTTCAGAGCAGACCCCCTTGCTTTCTAGACTCCTCCTCAGAGAAGGGCCCAGAGGTGGCTGGATCCACTCTTAGTCTCAGACTTGGTCAATAGTTTATGTCTTGAAACAGATGAGGTGTAGGGATTATGGAAAAGGAAAGAGAGAAGAAGACAGAGAAAGAAAAAGGAAGAGAGAAAGATTTCACCGGTCCTGGGTCCAGCATTGGTTCAGTCAGCTGAGGGGTCCAGTGCCAGTGGGCTTGTGCGCCTGGGGCTTCAGTTTGTGTCCTTTTATCATCCTTGCCCCTCTTTTGGGCAGGCACCTATGAGCAGTTTGTAAGCCTTTGGACTTGGGAGTCGTTTGTGGAGTAACTTCTCCTTCCCTGCAGACACGGCCATTGTTTGATCTTTGTATCAGAACAGCTTATCAGAAGAGGGAGCTGCGCACCCCCCAGCACACCCTCCCCCTCCTGTTGCTGATGTCTGAGCTGATGGGCTTTTCACCTTGGTTCCTTGCTGTGTAGGGTTTGTCTTTAAGCAGAACTTGCCCCACCACAATGTTTGAGACATTAACTCTTTCTGTCTCTCACACATGCAACCAGCGAGGTCAATGTAGATCAATCCTTGGTCAGTCAATTAAGCTATTTCTATGTATCAGAGATTGTCAAGGTGGAACTATTATCACTGTATTTATCTAAAAGCGCAAGTAGCATCCCAATTTACTGCCCATTATTCCTGCCTGTATTACCAGAAGAAGAACACAAAAATCAATAAAATACCAACCATCAATGGAATGGGAAGGAGCATCGAGTGCAGAAGTTTTAACTTCTTTTTTTCTGGAGATGAATTAGCTGTTTGCCACAATGCTTAAGTGTTTATTTCAAAACCATGTCAGACTAGTATTTTAGTGACATTTATCACTAATCATGTTTTCCAGTTTTCAGCATGGTATTGTGCTTGTTGTGACAGTTTTGATTTAAACTGACAGTCCACTTGAAAAAAACAGTTTATAGTACTGGCTGGTGCTCCAGCTGGGGAATCATGCAGCCAGTTTCAGTGTGACATTGTTTGGGAAAGTGAACCACTAACTCCATGTGTTATATTCCTTAGTGGGTGAGGGTTAAATCATGCTGAGCTATAAATGTTACCTATCATCTGAATTGATGCTTTGGTAGAAGTGAGTCAGATGCCATTTTACTTGGCTCCAATGCAAGCAATTTTCTAGAAATGAAGGAAACATACAGATTTCTTTGTTACAAAAATTGTCCTGTTTCAGCTTGACTGAACATGATAGGTTGGTTTTTAAAAACTACTAGTGGAAGTTTTAAGAATTTAAAAGGTAAATGAGAAAAGATGTTCCCCAAGCCCCTGTCAGCAGCAATTTCTACAGCATCAGAGAAACCAGCTGCAAACCTCCTCAGTCCTTACAGGCACTTACAGGGCATGTTTTAATTGAAATAAACAAACTTGTAAAACACTGACTGAACCATTTAATAGTCTCCTAAGGGACATCTTTGTTCTAAGCACATGTAGAGCTGTGGGGCACAGCCATTCAACCCACAGCTCTGGGGGAAAAAGCCAGAGCTACGTGAGCAGCAGTGTCCTCCGCCTTTCACTGCCTGACACAGCAGTCAGCCAACCAAGTTTATTACAGCCAACCGCTGCTGTTGCAGAGTGAGCTGCAGGTGAGAAGGTGCACGCAAGTGTCTGGGGTCTGAAAATGTCTACATCTGCACCAGGAGTAAGTGGACTCTTGTTGTGTGGGGGGGATGCTAGAACTGCAGGATCCAGGTGGGAGCAGCCCCTATGGCTGCTCCTTTTGGTAGACTCTGCAGAGCTGGGAGGTGTACCTTCCACCGTGGCCAGGCCCAAGGCACCTTGCCCTATTGCTGCAGGTCAGAGGATGAGCATTTTGTGCTGCAAGTTCACATCCTGCAAATGAATTTGACTGAAAATGATCAAGGATATCAAACGTATATATTTTTTTCTAATACATAGTAACCTAGTTCCTATTTAGGGCTGCTGTTCACTGCTATGAAAGAAGATAACTTTTGAGTAAATAAATCAAGTTTATTACAAAGAATAGTGTTCTTGAAGTACATAAGGAGAAGATGAATGCATTCAATAAAGGTGATGTCAAAGGCGTATTTAAAATTTTTCCTTAATAAAGAGACAGGCAGAAATGCAACTTTAATTCATCCTTTCTCAGTGATGTTCCTCACTCATTTTAGCACAGCTGAGACTTCGTTGTTAATAGTTAAGTTGCAAAAGGATTCTCTTTATTATTTAAACCTAGATGGATAAATGTAGGGGCTAAACAGAGTATTCAGATGAGTGATTCCCCAGGGAACCAAGGGAAATAATTCAATACTTAGATTTTCTTTCTCACAACCATTAGAAACAATTTTCTGGGTTCTCAGTGGAAGGTTTGGTGGGTGAAAGGAATATTGGACATTTGCAGTCCTTCTCTTGATAAAATTAATTGGAAACAGTATATCCAAACTGGCTAAATTCCAGTGCAGTCAGCAGCAGTTGGTGCTTTATGATATTTTAATATAATTTCAAGTTTTCTAAAGTTCTATAGGAAAGTTTATTTAAAGGTTATTAAAGTTACTATTGGAGTACAAGTCAAGCATCTCTATTTCTTTTCTTTGAAGGCAACTGGATCACAGATAGGAATGATTGTGAATTCCTTTACCAACATTGGGGTGGCCATGATCATTGCTTTCTACTTCAGCTGGAAACTGAGTTTAGTTATACTGTGTTTCCTGCCATTTTTGGCCTTATCTGGAGCTGTGCAGGCTAAAATGCTGACAGGATTTGCCTCTCAGGACAAGAAAGCGCTGGAAGCTACTGGACAGGTAATGTTATTTAAAAACTAATTATATTTGCAGTCATGGGTAGTTGAAAAATCAGGCACTTGGGACATCAGTAATTCAAATGTAATGAAACTGGCAATGTTTTGCAAATAAGTTGTAGTATTTCAGCTTGTCAAACCATTGAAACTCCCTAACTGCAAAAGCACTTGCTGCATGGAATGTGACTGACTTTTGAAAAGTTATTGGACCTAATTGTCAGACACAAATCTCTCAGCAGCCTGTTTCACCTTTGTCAGGTTTTATTTAAATGCCTGTTTGTCGATGCCCTGTGACTATGCTGTGAACTGGCTCACCGCGAAGGCTGAGTATAGGTTTATGTAGTTTGCACTGGCTGAGCGGACTTCCAGTCCACGTACCAAACAAGGAAAAGGTAGGGATGCAAGAGAAAGGAAGGCCGATTTCTCATGAGTTCACTCCTATGCAGGTCTGCAGTGTTGAAAAGCTCAAACTCCTTTGACCTTAGTTGTGGGTCACTAAGTTCTGGCATATGACCCAGAACCTGATAGTTTCTAAATATACTTAGTTCAACTGTGCAGACACTAAACTGCATTAGAAATGCAGGGAATTTAGAAGACAGGTAACATGAGGAAGACTAGCTCAGGTTACCCCGCTCAGAGTAATGCCTGAGCCTTCTCCCCTGCTTTAGGCTGCCATATTTCTAGCATCAGAAAAAGTAAGCTTTGCAGATCCTCTCAAAGCATCAGAATTTCCTTCTGCTGAGCTACTTTAGCCCATCCTAAAATGACTCTTGCAGTGTTCCCACTCCTCCCCCATCCTACATTAAAGTCCTGCCTACCAAATGTCTTACCCAACCCACCTTCTACCCTGCCCCATCTGAACCTTCCCTCTACCCATCTGAGCTCTCAACCATCTTTAGCCTCTCTTGACCTTAATCTGTGCAGCAAACACATGGACTGGAGCCCTTTGCCCCGTTCAGCTCTGCATCTACCAGCTGTTTCTTTCCCATTGCCTGCGGCAGTTGGCTCAGCCTGCCACCCCCCTTTTGATTTCTGAAGAAGAAAATCTTCAGCTCCCAATTCCCATTTCTGGGTGTGATTTAAAGAAGCATGTCATGACTGGGGGCATAGAACTTAAAAGCATGCACATGTCTGGAATTTTATTTTTTTGAATGCACAAAAGGTATTACGTGAATTACTATCACTTGACTTTGGTATCACTAATCAAATGAATACATTTATGGGCCACTGTTGAGTGCTGTTAGGAATAATCTTCAATTCCAGAAAGCCAAGGAAGAATTAAGACCTAACCAATTGCCCACATTCAGAATGGTTTAATTATTTACAAAAAGTGGTAAATCAAAATACTGTCTTGACAAGGAGAGAAACTTCACTAATGAGTCAAGGCATCAGCTTTTATTCAACAGAAGGACCCAGAGGCTGGGATGAAAAGGGCACTCAATGCTTCAGCAGTTTTGGTGATGACTGATTATGTCTGGTGTTATTTTCTAATTCATTTGCCAGCACTGCATCCAAATGCTAAACACTCTGAGTTCTTCCACAGTGATTGCTCATCAGCCATGCTAAACATGGAAATGCACAATCTGAAAATCCAATTCACAGTAGCTACTTATCTGCTCCTTCACATTGTATGATAATGCATGAGATTTGACTCTTAATTTTGGCCAGAAAAAAACCCTGAAATCGAATGGAATATTTTTAATGATTTATATTCAGATCTCTTCCTACATGCTGAAAACACTCATAAGTCATATAGCAGACTATTGCTTCCCAAAGGAAAGTGTCACACTATGAAGCTACTATCAAAGTCCAGGCAAACTACAGCATTTTAAAGCAATTTCTTAATAAAATTACTTAAGTAGGCTGAAATTAGGATCAAACAAACTGTCAATCTACTTCTACAGATGAAACTGTAGTGCTATTTTTTTGGGACAGAAACCCAAATTCTGACTGGCAACAAAGCACAATATAAAGCCTACAATTAATTAAAGCTCCAGAGAAATTTCCATGGGGATTATCTCATAATTTTCTGTGCTGCATTTTTCTATGTACATAGGCAAGCATTTGCTTACTCTTTGCCTACGTACAAGGTAAAAATCCTGGAAATTGTGTCACTGACATTAGAGGAATCAAGGTGTATCAAATCAATCTCCATATATATGTTCTATCTCATCAGGCTTTTTGGACATAAGCCAGAGAAAGAGGGAGGATGAGCAGGTGAGGAAACAGTAAATTCAGGTGGTTTTAATTTATGAAACAGAAGTTGGAGATAGCATCCCTTCTAACTCTTTCCCTGATATTGCTATAAGTAAAAAAATAAAATAATTGAAATAAACATCTTTAATAAATGCATGCAATCAAGAATAACAGTGTTCCTAAAACCATTTTTGCTTTTGTGGATGTCTCATTTATTCACACTACGTGAAATAACTCACAAGTGAAAGCATGTGCCCGATTTCCTAAGTGTGCTTACAGTAGCTTAGCTCTGGTGGAGCAGACAGAGCATTACTCTTGAGGATGTTAGTAGATAATTGCTTGTAGGAAAGTTTCTCTTTAGGTTGGCTGATGTTTGGGCCAGTCTGTATGTCGTGGTTTAACCCCAGCCAGCAACTAAGCACCACGCAGCCACTCACTCACTCCCCCCCCATCCAGTGGGATGGGGGAGAAAATCAGGAAAAGAAGTAAAACTCCTGGGTTGAGATAAGAACAGTTTAATAGAACAGAAAAGAAAAAACTAATAATGATAATGATAACCCTAATAAAATGACAACAGTAGTAATAAAAGGATTGGAATGTACAAATGATGCGCAGGGCAATTGCTCACCACCCGCCGACTGACACCCAGCCAGTCCCCGAGCGGCGAATCCCTGCCCCCCCCACTTCCCAGTTCCTAAACTAGATGGGACGTCACATGGCGTGGAATACACTGTTGGCCAGGTT